GGGACTGCATTTTTGCTTGACCTGCACTTCGTCAACCAGTTTCACGTAATTGCGACCTTGACTCAAAGATTCCTTTCATTACCAGCAAAATTACTCTTCTTTTTTATTTGTCAATGTTTATTTGCTGCGATTCCGTGTAGTCGTCAACCGTAATATGTCCAGAAATAGTGCTAACTTGTGTGTCTAAGTGATATATGTTGAATTACCTAACATTAAATTTCTCGGAAGATATGAGAATTTCAAGTGAGAAAAGTGTTTTTTATGCTTGATCATGTTTAGAAATTTTATGTGTTAAAATTAGTTTAAGAAAAAAGAAACATGCAACGTCATTCGATTTTGATCAACCGCATACCAAAGCTTATTTTATTACGAAAGACGGGGATATTTTACAGTAATGGAGATTGATTTGAAAATCTTTCAAATTCAGTTTCAAAAATGAAGTTTGAATTGCTTCTTGTTGTTCCGTTTACAAAATCTGTATTGATTCAGCTTCAATTAGCTTACAACAAGTAGATGCCCGAATTATGTTGAGTGCAGCTCTCATTTGACCGAACTTTCTGCACTTTAAGTGGAAGGGTGGCAATGAGGGCGAAAGGACCTAATGCTTCAAACTCTTTTACGCGTCCTCTTCCACTGTAGTGTTTCCAGTAAAAAAAATCACATTTGATTTTCGGCGTGAGATGTGTGAACATTCAAAACTTTTCTCATAAGTTATTAGCATGGAGGCAAATCGATCGCAACCTTCACGAAAGTTGGAACAACTCCCGCCGGTAACGTACATTAGCATTCTACAGACAGGCTGGATTTTTCAGAAAGATCTAGGCTCTCAAATATACCGTGCCCTCTGGAAAAAAAACTCTTTTGACTTCCTCCATTGGAAATTGCGGCAGCATATTTGAATCCCCATGTTTTGTATTACCTGATATACACATGTAGTTGAAAGTGAATAATAGGCTTGGGTGGATGAGAATATTTATATTGCGATACTGAGGGCGCCTGTCAGCACCCTTGATTTTCATACTGTACTTGAGACGTTGTCGTGCTCACCCATCCTTCGCAAAGTCAAAAAATTCAATATCCACAAAGTTGTGATTAGTAGACAGAGAGCTGTTAATGATCTAAAGAAATTGCAAATCCATCTTCTTTAAAAATATTTTGCAGAACCATCAAATTTTGCAAATTTTCTCTTGTGATGAATCCCCAATTCATCATCAAAAATGTTCAGTACACAGTCATATGCTATTCGAAAGAGGACCCTCTTTTATATAAGCTTACAATTGATGAATATCTATGAGAGCATGTCTTTAGTATGACATCACAACTAAAACTGTCTTACAGAGACCTCCTGCAAACTAATCTTCTGCCTAAAGTTACTTTCTTCAAAAAGTTTAAGTTAACGAGTATGAAAATTTGATCATATTACGTTTCATCGTAGTTTTGTCTTTGTACTCGACAGAACGTTCGCAAACAGTTGTCTAGTTTTTTTTTTCTCTTTTCTTCCTCAAAGAAGGATAAGCGTGCTTCCTATCCTGAAGTGAAAGTTTGGTGAGGTAACTCTCATTTTGTCTTATGTAAGCAACGAACTATCTTCTTCATTTTTCCAATCAAAGGGACTTTGACACGGCGATTGCAAAACTTAAGCTTTTCAATCAAGATACTACTTTTTCCAATCATTTAGTGCAATTTCAGATCAATTGCAGAGTTACTTCAGTCGATATGGTCAAGTAC